TTATTCACCCACTAAAATCTTTCCCAAAACTCTGGGCTTAGAAAATTTTGCTCTTGCTTACACTCACATAACTCCAGAGTACCTTCCCTGGAATTACTCTGCGTATATTTCAGTGCAATTTGGAAGCAGAATTTACACTAAGGACTTGCTCCTGTAAATTGGTGAGCACTGCAGACTGATCCAGCAAAATGCTTAAGCATGTACTTATCTTTAAGCATATGGATAGTCTTGTTGACTTCAAAAATACTACTCCCGTGCTTAAGTTTAAGTATATGCTTAAGTGTTTTGTTTGTTTGAGCTAGAGTGTTCAGCACCTTTGCGAGACTAAGCCTTAAACAATCTAGTATGTTAGGTTCTTGTTGTCGTCAGCATTAAGGCATCCCCTCATTTTAAGCAATATGTCCAAGCATTTGCTTTTTGAAGGTGTCAATTGGACACACATTTCAAGCAATAATCTTGTTTTAGAGAAATATCCAAAATATCTATACATTGACTTATATCCTGACCAAAAAATAAAATAAAATAAAATAAAATAAAATAAAAGATTATCTCTTTGAAGAGCTTATCTGCTGTATATATTATTATTCCTGAGGGAATTCTGCACCAATACATTAAAAATGATGCACACAATATTTTAAAATTCTGCAAAATTCTGAAAATTTTATGTCAATAAATAAATGTGGCTCCAGCATGGCAGTGGGGAGCACAGGCCACTGGCTTCATTGAGGTGGTAGATCATCCTGCAACCCCCACCTCCTCTGGTACAGGGACTCGGCAGTGAGGCTGCACCTGACAGTGCAAGGGCTGGGCCTGCCCCAGAAACACCCTGGGGCCCTGCCCTTCTATGCATGGTGTGGGTAGGTAGGCTCAGCCCAGCAAGATCCAAGTGTGGAGGAGCTTAGTGTGGGGGGACCCAGGTGTGGGGGTGAGAGGTTTCTGTGTGGGGCAATCTGGGTGCAGGCGAGTCAGTGGGATATCTAGATGCAAAGGGGCTCGTTGGGAGGTTCTGGGTGCAGGGGTAATGAGACTCTGCAGGGGATCCAGGTAAAGGTGGTTGGGGCTCAGCAGGGGGGTCTGGGTGTGGGGAGATGGGGCTCGGTGGAGGAGGGTTTGGAGGGTCTGTGAGAGGCTCGGGGGCGGGGTCCAGATGCTGGGGAAGTGGGGCTTGATGGGGTGGGGGTCCAAGTGCAGCAGATTGGGGATCAGGGGGTGAGGGTCTTGGTGTTGGGGGTTCGTCGAAGGGATCCAGATGTAGGGGGATAGGACTTGTCAGGGTGAGGGTTCAATGGGCCTGCTTAATGGGGAAGCCCCAGCTGCTGCTGAGGAGATGCCGCTTGCCGGGTTCCTTCTTTCCCTGCAATTCCCCTATCCCCTTTTTTTTCTCCATTCCCCTCCCCTCATTCCCACCTTCCCCTCCCTCTGCCCTATTCCACCTCCTTCCTTCCCCACTGCCTCTTCCCCCTCCTTGCCCCCCCTTTCCCTCATTTCCTCCATCCCTCCTTACCCAGCCTCACCACAGGCACTAAGCGTTGCAAAGAAAACAGGAAGACTCCCAGCACACAGAAGGGGAACATGACTGGCACTAGGACCCAGGAGGCGGTGTTCACCTGTGGAGTCAGCGGGAGCCCAGATGCAGCCTCCTTCAGCTGGGCAGCTCTGGGCTTGCAGAAATGATGGGGAGGGGGGCAGTGGCACGTAATCCTGTGTGCCCCCCATGCCTCACCTCTGCTTGGAGGGGGGCAATCCCCCCAAAAACTGCACCCATGGCCATATCCCTCACCCTTCCACGCTGCACAGCTTACCTTTGCTTCCCTGCCCTTTTCTGCAGGGAAGCACAGGAATTCTGCAGGAGGACATTTTCTGCAGGCATGCAGTCCTGCAGAATCCCCCCCAGGAATAATACATATACATAAAAAACAATGCATGAGAAAATTTTGTTCCTGTACTATATCCAATGCCCATATTGAAAGTTCAACCCTAAAGAAAAATGCTTGAACAAAGATAATTTCTGAATTTTAATCATGGGGTTTTGTCAATGTGGCAGAGCCATTCAACAAAGAGATATATATGATTGTGGTAAATATAATAAAATCACAAATAAAATATTCCCCATATTCCAACAGCTTCACTTATATTATTCTACAAAACACGCAATTCTCCTTTATGAACTAATTCTCTCATACAACAAAATATATAGGAAACTTTTATTTACAATTCCTCTACAATTCCTCAAAGAGAATTTTAGCAAAGACATACAAAACTGTGATTTTCTTTTTCATAAAAAAATATAAAATCTACTACTTTATATTCATTCAGGTTCCCAGAAAGATTTGCTCCATAGCCTACTGGTCTGCAGACTGCTCTGCAATATGAAAATAAACATCTGCAGGCTTTTGCTAATCTTGCAAAGAAACATAGGGGAAATTTACTTTCAGAATGTACCTGACACAAAAAACTGAACAAAATCAGAACTCTGGAGCAGATCCTCAAATAATGTAAATCAGTGGACCTGGCCAAATTCCTCCATGACATCTGACTTATGGGAAATCTTGTCACTCCATTACCTGTGATGGTCATATCCTTGGGTCTCACAAATAAGGAGTGAGATAATAATGAAATCTAATCTCAGTCTGACATTCGCATCAGAATTTTTTCTATTTCACTTTTTTCCTATGCTAATGAGAAGTAGGCTATTGCCTATAAAGATCTCTGTAGCTATATATTCTTTACGATGTGATTGCCTGCCCTAAATGCCCATAGACAAGTGTGCAAACACGGCCCTCCTGAGTGAATCTAATGTCTCCAGAACATTTGGCCTGATTCTCCACTACCTGGCACCTTGTGGGTGTCTATTACACCTGTGCAAAGTATTTTTCTTAAATATCTGTTAAATTAGAATTCTCCACTCACAGTGTGGGACAGGCAATTTGATTTATTTTGCAACAGAATAAATGACTATATAAAGTGAACGGTAGTGGAGAATCAGGATTTCTGTCTTAATATTTGAACACAGAAATAAATGTGTTTGGTGATATAGTCAATGGCAAACACTATGAATGTATATGTCAGGGGTGTTAACAGTAAACATTAAGAAATGTATGGCAGTAACTATTTTAGTGTCCAAAACAGTTAATTTGAGAAAATGGAAAACCTCCCTCATACATAGACTGGCTTAATGAGCTCTCTACTATATTAATGGGAAGAAGAAGAAGAAAAACAAAAGACTGTCTAATAAAAACATTTGGAAAAAAATATGAGGCTACCTGGTGACACATAAAACTATTGCATACTGTTGCAATCTCATATCTTTTAGTCCCCAATACTCATAGGTTATGTTTTCATTTATTTATCTGTTTAATCACTAATAATTAATGCCCTGTGATCTTTAGGGGTTCAGGGTTTTTGTTTGGTGGTTTTGTTCTGGTTTTTTTTTCAGGTTTTGCAAATAATCCACAATGAAATTTTGTTATTTATATACGATTTCCATCTTGCACATGTTTTTATGTTTTCTTTCATTATGTGTTTATAATTTATATAAAAACAAAAAATAAAGTTAAAAATTCATTGTGATTTGTTTTGACTTGTAACCTAGATCATAAATTGATTATACAACAAAAGGTTATAATAAAATTAGAAAAAAAGAGAATCTGCAGCTTTATAGAAGCTTATTTGACCTTTGTTAAATTTTTGTTTGGCTTTGCCTTTATCCTGAAATAGCACTTCATATAATGCCCTGCTCTCTCTGTGGAGGTTGATAACTAGCAATCTGTAGCAGACAGTGTAAACTGACTACATCATAGTTCATTGGGGAGATTAATGTCAAATAGATGTGTTGTACCATAGGTCTTATTGAAATCAGTGTGACCTTTGGACACATGATGAATTCAGGACTGGACCCAATGTGGGAAAGAATTACAACTATTTTAGCCTTAAAGTCTCTTCTGTCCTGAGAGCTTTCAAGTCACTAATTACTATTGTGCTTTCTTAAAACCTTTACTAAAAACCAATAATTTCCAATTTCTCAATAATTTGAATAAAATACAATTATATATATATATATATATTCATTTGACTCCCACTATAGAGCTGGACTGATATTTGTCAAATATATTCAGGAATAATATACTTAATGAATTTGGGGATTTTTAAAATGTCATTATTTAAAAAAATGTTGCCCAGGTCTAAATGGAAATATCTCCAGAGACCTTATTTTTTATATATTACTTATGCCAAGTTAGCATGTCCATAAGTATTTTTATGTGTTGTATAGAACCTCATATGTGGAACATAACATCCACATGCTCCTTCTCCTTATATTGTACATGAAAATAACAGACCTATTAATTTTTTGGTAAGTACTGTAAAAATAAATCCTCTCATTCTCAGCTACAAAATGATGTGAATGACCCAGTAATTGGTAAACTTTATTCTACTCTTATTATTATTTCATGTAACAATCTTTTTTCAATCATTGTCTTTAAAGTCCTTTAAGTTCAAAGTTAAGTACAAGACACTAGAAAGTTTGAAAAGCATAGGCCATTCTTTCTTCAGTGGATACTCAAGTTTTACAGAAATGTTGCCAATGCAGCAGTTATTGTATTACATAGAATTTTTCTTCTTCTCCCTTAATGGTGCACTTTTCAGAACTGTAATAAATTATTACTAATTGAAACTCAGGAGACTTAGAAGCTAACATTCATTAAAAGGAAAAAAAATCCTCTCCACTAAAGCTTGTTTCCTTTGCATTAAAATAAGCCACCTGCTGTTTTTAAGTTATAGTTTCTCAAAGCCACTATGCCTGTGCTCTTTGGTCAGACAAATTGCAATGACTGTAAGTTGTCATAGAAACAACATCACTGCAAGTCAGTGAAATTGTTAAAAGAAAGCAATGGTTGCAAAATAAGCAGTGCTTGAATCACAAAAGCGGATAAGATGGCTAAAAATCCCTTAACTCCTCCAGAAAGGACAAATGTTTAAGGATTAGTCAGTGAGGTACTCACCAGAGATTCATACTGTGGCAAACGGGTCCCTTCAGACTGCCTTAAAAAGGTTCCAAGAACAGGTCTAAATTTATCTGTAAAACACACAAAGGTCTAGATTGAAAAGAAAGGCATTCCAAGGTATTGACTTTGTGTGGTGGGGGCAGTTATTCAACAAGGGAAGAGAAAGCTTACAATTGTGTAGGTCATAATTGAAAATCCAAAAGAATGGGGCTTAAGGAGAGAGAATGGGAGCAGTGAGAGATGAAATTGAACACAAAAAAAATAAATGTAGTCATTGGAAGCAGTTGGAGAAGAAAGTGAAGCAAAGAGACTGTCCATATATTTAATACCAATACTGCTTCTGGGGAGACTGGGGAGGAAAGACAGAGACAATCCCTCCATACTTATATGTCAGAAGAACACTAAATTGGGAGCCAGCTGTAATCAAAATTAATGCAGGAGACAACATGTGTATTAAAAAAAATGCTAGACAACTCCTTCTACTGGCAGTCTCCAGCTGTTTCCCTTAAAAGGAAACATGGTTAAATATTTGTTGGTATTCTGTCCCATGCACAGTTGAGTTATTCTGGCTGTTTAATAAACCGAGGTTGAGGTTATTCTTTACCTCTGCTGAAGTTATTCCCTTCTAAAGCAGGAACAACCTGCAAAGCATAGAAATACAGAGGGCTGTAGCCAGTATAATATTATTAGGAGCCACCAAATGGAGCTATTAGAGATAACTTACTATTTAACGGAATGTATGAGCAACCAGATCTTGGGGGAAATGCTATTTGCAGTAGGGCAGTTTGTTTAAAGGTGAGTATATCATCACTAAATTTGTTCCCTATCTGAATCTGACTAAATCATTTCATTGGTACAAAACTGCTATCTACTGGATATGCTCACACAAACAAATGTTATGTGCTTTCAATAATAGCACAGCTGTGTCAGGTGGAGTATATGCTAAAATGTGTGCACTAATGGTGATGGGCCTGACATCCTTGGTGGATCATGTTCGGTCTCAGTGTACCAGAATTTCCCCAGTCCTCAGACAAAGCTGTTGTTCCTTTGGACAAGATGAGATTAACCCTTGCCTCATGACCTTAGGAGTCTGAAGATGTTCCTTTGCTTTTCTCTTTAAAATATGCAGGAGGGGTGTGACGTTGCACTCTATATAATTTTATGAAAATATGCTAATGAGTATGAATATAATGTAACTGGAATATGCTTCATGCAAAAGGTCTCTTGTAGGGTATCATTACAAAGCTTATAATCTACTGAGTGTGGTCATCCTATTTGTACAAATGTACCACTCTTATATCTGAAACTAGAAATATGAAATATAACTCTGAGGACCTATTGTAATTATGCAAAGTGTGGGCCATTAATGGTGGTTTGGAATCTTGCTGATTCCCATTAACCAGGACAATTGTCTGCAGATGGCTCTGTTTTACTTGTAAGTCTCCCTGTGTGCTGGCAAGTGGGTAATGAAGTCTTACAGTGACATGTGATCATGTCACCTGAACTGGAATCCATCTTTAACCTGGTGCTTTTCCATTGAGAAGGAGGGAGTGGGAACCCAGAGAGGGACAAAGGATTCTTGCCTTATGCAAAAGATATATAAATGGGTGGAACAGAACAAAGTGGAGCCATCATGAGGAATCCCTTAGCTACCACCTGAGCTTGAACAAGGGCTGTACCAGGGGAAAGGACTATGCCCAGACTAGGAAGGTGTCCAAGCTGTGAAAGAAACTGATTGAAACATCTCTCAGGGTAAGATTTCACCTGTATTCAGTTGTATTACTGTGTTAGGCTTAGATTTGCGTGTTTTATTTTATTTCATTTGGTAATTCACTTTGTTCTGTCTGCTGCTACTTGGAACCACTTAAATCCTATTTTCTGTATTTAATAAAATCACTTTTTACTTGTTAATTAACTCAGAGTATGTGTTAATACCTGGGGGGGGGGGGCATACAGCTGTGCATACCTCTCTATCAGTGTTATAGAAGGTGAAGAATGTATGAGTTTACCCTGTATAAGCTTTATATAGGGTAAAACGGATTTATTTGGGGTTTAGACTCCATTGGGAGTTGGGCATCTGAGTGTTAAAGACAGGAACACTTCTGTAAGCTGCTTTCAGGTTAAGTCTGCAGCTTTGTGGCACGTGGTCCAAACCCTCGGTCTTTGTTGGAACAGACTGGTGTGTCTGGCTCAACAAGACAGGGTGCCGGATCCCCAGGCTGGCAGGGAAAGCAGGGGCAGAAGTAGTCTTGGCACATCAGTTGGCAGTTCCCAAGGGGGTTTCTGTGAACCAACCCATCACAGTTTAACCCTGCTTCATGACCTTAGGAGTCTGAAGATGTTCCTTTGCTTTTCTCTTTAAAATGTGCAGGAGGGGATAGAATCATTTTGATTTAGGTTTGACCCTCACAAAGAGAGCATTAAGTTGCCCCAGTCAGGAGGAGGGATTGCAATGACTGGATTACTACATTGATAGGCTCTTGTTACTTTTACGAGTCCTCTGTTTAAAAATATATCCAAATACCTCATCCTCTATGGTAGCCATCAGAATGTCTACTAAGTCAGTAGGTCAGATCTGGGAGAAAGGTTTTACTTCATCATTTACCATTAGATTTTATATTCCAAAAGATCTGAAACATAAGATTTTTCTTTAAACGAGCTCTGAATATATGAGTGAGTTAGCATTTAAAGGATGTCCTGTGCCCAGCAAAGCCTCTTGTTCAACACCACTGTTGCTACTCCAGAAATTAACAAATGTTCTCTGATTGCTTCTGCAATAATGTGATAATAATGGTGATAACAAGCAACCTTCTACCTCTGCCAAGTTCAAAGGATCACAACATGATTCTACTTTACAAAACTGACATTGTCTGTGCTTAATAAATCAACGTTATTGTCTTTTGTGAGTTACAGTTATAATATGTTAAATAGTCACATTCCATCTGTTAGTGTCAACTGCATCTGTTGATAGTAATGATAGGGCTGGAGAAATCACCAGTGCCCTCTATGAATTCTTTGATGTCATTCCTGTGATGAATTGGATCTGCTGGGGTATTTATAACTGTGGCTATTTTTGACTGTTTTTAATAAGAACGTAGCATATAGGACTGAAATGACCTCCTGGATCCACAAGTCCAGCCGCCTGCCATCATATAATCCCATTCATAAACATAATCTCCCTTGTAAAACCAGGAGTTTTACAAGGGAGATTATGTTTCTTTTCCCTACTATTCCTAATATCTTTACTTTTGCATACAAGACCGATGGCTTATACCCTCTAGTGAATTCTTGTGCACCGAAGACATAACTTTGCTACAGGAGGCATAAAAGTGTCATTTTTCTCAATGTCTGTGAAGACCAGATTCATTTCTGGAGCCTAATATATTTTATTATCCTTTTTACGATGTGGCCAAAAAGCCATCCTCCCCTGGCATTTATCTAATGTTAAGTGGTATTGTTGTTTTCAAAATTTACTTCTTCACGGGATAATAATTTGATAATTCTACATTCCAATTAAAATTGCAGCATCTCTCATATTTGACTCTGTAGTGCTAGGTATGCTCTGAGCCATCAAATTTTATTTCATTTTCTGCCTCAGATTCTAAAATGCATGCTTAAATAAGTGAAATATCTGTTTATTGAGAAGCTAAGAAAGGAACAGAAGAAGGAGCAAGAAATGCATCTAATCAAACCTCATTCCAAAGCCCACACCAAACCCTCCACACCTGGACTACCCCCGTCACAGAACCCATATACAGTAGGAAGGGGCAGACACTACCACTGATCCTATCCTTCTGCATGAGATGGGAGATCACCATACAAACATTCTTCTCCATGTATGGTTCTGGGAGAAAAAGAAGAACTGATTAAATTAAAATCATGAAATTCAACATAAATTGATACATAAAAAACCTGTATATATGTATACACACACACACACACACACATATGTATACACATACATACACACACTGAACTGTGAAGAATGACAATTTTAAACAGCTAAAATTGTCTCACAGGAGCAGAAGGGAAGATGGAAAGATCCATATAGCAGAGGAGACTCCAACCCAGGGCCGGCGCTAAACCAAATGGCACCTCAGCTGAGGAGCATCTATGGCACCCCTCCTCCATTTTTTAAACTTTTGAATACCTTATTTTTATTTATTTTTATTATTTTTTCACAGCTTTGATTCATGATTTGTATTCACGATTCATCCCTGTCATATAAGACGATAAATTTCCACGCTAGGATCTGTAAATGTAGGAGGTTCAAGGAAAATGTAGTTCTCAGAAAGTCTGGAAGTTTCCACGAGATTCTACAAAGGTCCAGAACATTCTAGGAGGTTAGTAAAAAATGAATCCTCATACAGAATACCTGAAATATTTCACTTCAAACATTTTAGTTTCCCTTTTGTCACTAACAACAAAAACAGCACCCTAAGCCTGGCGCCCCCTAAATCCAGCCTTGCTCCAGCCCAATTGAGGCTTCACCACACTCAAGATACACAGGGGGTCACCACAGAGCTGAGTTCTACACCACCACCCTGGAGAGTCTCTGTAGCCAGAGAAGCAAGAACAGGATTTGCCTGTCAATGTGTGACAACAGTGAGGAAAACCTAGTGCAAGAATGAAGATTCCCAGAATAGTAAGAATTAGGTCATTTCATTCATTGCTCATGAACTATATCCAAAGTGATCCGGGATGCTTTGCTTTCTTATAATATTCACATAATCAGGGGCAGTTCTTACTTTAATAAAGAAAACAAGTATGACCAGAGATATCTTCAAGAAATGTTCTGGAAGCTTAGGTACCTATACTGGAACATGGTTTGCCATTCCAAGATCTTCCAGACAATAGTAAACACTGGCTTGTTTACCTACCCTTTAACTCTCTCCAGCGCAAGAACAATCTCTTTGTTATGTGTTTGTTCAGTACAACAGGGCCCTAACCCATGACTAGGGTGCTACTGTAATATAAATAATAAATGACAAAACAAGATCTCCTCTGTCAATCATTATTAATACCAATTCCTTCTGCTAACATTATTCATTGCTTGTTTTCAGCTCAATGAGATTATAAGCAATCTATGCACTGAGAGTCACATAACTGGCTTGGATCTAAATCAGAGATAATTATCCTGAGTAACTCCATTGCAGATACCAATGAGGGACCAGAATTAATCTTTGCAAAACCACAATGATCTTCTGTCTCATGAGCTTATTTGAGCAATATTTCTCATTCTTAGAACTTCTGACTTCAAATGGAACCTCCCAGTCTTGTACTTTTAATGGAAAAGCAGCTTCAGCATTGACTTTCCCTTTTATATGTAATGTTGTTCACTCCCATTTAGATAATGAGTCTGATTCCTAAATAATTCTCAGTTATCTACTACTAATGAAGGAAACAAAGGGATATCGTGCACTTCAGTTGATCAGTGCTAGTTTTGTAGGTCTATGCCACACAAACAGATTTACATAGCATCTTAAGCCAT